TGTTGGGCTGTGAATAATAATCGCTATTTACGTTAGTAATAATGGCTTTATTTTAATAAAATGCAGAGCACAATGTGGCTGACGCCGGTACAGAAATGCAACAGAACTATAGACTATATATATAGGTACTTATAGCTACACGTCAATCTAGTCGACACTGCTCACGTCACTTCGCCATTTCTAACACATCTTGTATACGTGAGGCGCAATATAAGATTCCGGAATGAATAAGAAAAAAATACTATAAATGGTTAGAAATGAATTTATTGTTTCTCAAAATATTCTCCGTTAGCGTTAATGCACTTTTTCATACGAATGAACCAATTTTCAAATCATTTATGCCACTCCTCCGTGACAATCTCTGAAACATATTTTTCATACTCTTCGACATCCTCTTCAGGTGATTAAAATTGTTGACCGCGTTATAGGTTCTTAATTTTTGGAAATAAATAAAAATCACAAAGTTCAAATGACTCCAATCTCTCTCTGTCTTTTAATGTTACTGTCCATGTCTCGCATCCATACAGTGTGGTGCTCCAGACATACGTTTTGATGAAACTTTTTTTTTTCAATTGTATAGGTTTTTTAAAGGTAAAAATGTGTTTTTATTATGGAAAGCCTGTTTTGCTATTGCGATTCTAGTCATGTCAGTGGTATATTTGGAATCTTCTGTGACAACACTTCCAAGATATTTGAAATGCGTTACCTGCTCTACTGGAATGTCATTTTTTTTTTAAATTAAATTTCATCGGTAATTAAATATTTAGTTTTGCGATTTTCGTCCATTCTAGCAAACTCTCAAGTTAACTGGTCGATTTGAAGTGAAACAGTTGACGGCACCCATTGACGACACCCGTCAATTGTTTCGAACTCGGGCAGACCAATCGGAGCGCAGTTGTCACAGTAATGATATAGCAGAATAGTTTTCAAACAAATTAAATGACTTTTCGTCTCTATTTCTGGTTATAAACTCGACGTTAAAAAATGACTTTGACTTTGACTTTGATATAGTAAACTTGAGGATATACACTGATAAGTATACGGTATGAAAACACGATTCCTTACCTCGTAACTAAAGTGTAAATTTTACAAGAAAACCGCTGTGTTCAATACATACTTTACATATACCAATAATTTTTTTGATATAAACTGAACTAAATAGAACACGTATAGTATACATTTTTCAAATGGCATTAACTTCGTTTGTAAAAAAAAAATATGAAATACAGCGCGTAGGGACACTGCTTTATATTTACCGCTCAACCCAAAATGAACCGTATTAATACGGGAAAAGTTTTAATTTAGCGGAGGTAGTATCGATTCTTAAATTACCACGGCACTTGCAAAGATAATCAATCTAATAATAATCAATAACCTGCAATCGTGTAGACCTAAGACAGTAGATTGTACAACAAGTGCATAAAACGCGTCATTTTAACCGAGACGAGTATATCTCTTATAGGATACTTAAGTCGAGGGTAAAATGGGTTTTATGAACGAGTTATACACTCTGCTTTTCACTTCGATTGCGAGGAAATTATACAGCAATATTCTAAATAAATGTTTTTTTTTCTTTTTTCTATACGTAACACTTGGCTCAGCTCGGACTACATAATGCTGAGTTATATTTTACAAGCTTTTGTTTTTTATGCATTTGTATCTTATAACTTATAAGAATTACTATTGCCTACTTTTTTAATTTTGTAATATAACACGGTTTAAAAAAGATAAAAGTAAAACTTTATACAGTTCTAGTGTGCGTGGCTGTTGGCGCAGGCGTCATTGCCTCGGATTCGAACGACGTTTTTATTTTATGCACTAGAGCATAAAATCCTATTTTATGCAGCCTACACCCAGCTTATATACGAACTTTAAGAGCATGAGAAGTGAAAATTATATTTTGTTTTATAATGTAAATAAATATTTTCTTTGTACACAGCTTTCGGGTCCATGTCTGGAGCTTTCGGCACAAACACGTCAACCTCGGGCGGCGGTTTGTTCGGCGGGAACACCACCTTCGGTAAACCCACTACCTCGGCCCCTACATTCGGCTTTAACGCTCCCAGCACCGGATTAGGTACGTATATTTATGATACATAACGCAAAGATGTCATTATATCTTACTAACAGACCTATCGCTTAAGTCCAGCCACATACTGTTCCACATTATCCCGCCCTCCCCTTTCCTGCTCCGAACCATGCGTGCTGGCCTCCGTAGTCACCGTTTTACAACTAGCCGTATTCCATTGAGATCTAGAAGGTTTGGTGGCGCCTTCCTTTGTCGCACAGTTGAGAAATGGAACTCCCTTCCAGGGCACGTATTTCCTCCGCTTTACGATATGGGGTCCTTCAAACGAGGCGTGAAGAGGCATTTTGTAGGCATGCAGGGTGGAGGTGGCAAGGGCAGTGATTGTATTAACACTGCACTAGCTTCTTTCACGTTTGGGTTCCATTTTCCATTTTACATCAGGTGGAATGGAGTCATCTGCCTGTCATGTTTAAAAAAAGTCAGAATGCCGTTTCAAAACTCCGTTTCGGAATTTCGACAGCAGCAAAACCATACAAATTACGGAGTTATCACATACATACAGAAAAAGCCGCTCTGAATACAAGTCTTCCATAGATTTTGTGGGACCGCAACACATAGTCGTAAATTCCGTACCTATTTTGGCTGCGAGGACATCAGGACTCTATGGGTCGTATTCCAGAACTCTACTCAATACTCAAGTCAGGACTTGAGTATTGCAGTGAGCACTGAAAATCATACTTAAGTCCTTGCCGTTAGGGTCGTATTTCCAGTGCTTGAAATCATACTCAAGTCTGCTCAAATTCTGACTTGAGCATTGAGTAGAGTTTTGGAATACGACCCTTTGCCTCGCGTCTCTCAGCTGAGTCTTGTTATTCCGGGCGTAAATAAACATATGCATGTCATGTATATATGGAATCTCGAATCCATATTTCGAAACGGAATTCCGACTTTACTGTGGCCGGCCCGAGTCGATTCCGGAGGCAGCTGCGCGGTGCGGGGGGAGTGACAGCTGACGTAACAATTATGTCGCGCTGCACACTGGATAATATCAATAAGATTTTTCTGAGGATATTCAATACCAAGTTGAAGTTTGGTAGCAGTAGAGCTCCTTGTGAAATAGTTCGTCCAGGGAAGTACTGCCACCTTACCTATTTCTGCCGCCAAGCAGTAACGTTAACATTACTGTGTTCCGGTTTTGAAGGGTAAGGGGTGCTGATGAAATTGCAGGGACATCTAATGTCTCAAGGTGACGAGCGCAGTGGTAGTGCCCCTCAGATCTTTGCGATTTAAAACTTTGAGTGACACTGCAACTGTTATAGACAGGCGTGTATCTTACCATCAGGAGCACGAGCATCGCTTGATATTATATATATACACATAACAGCAATTGAATTATTTGGTAGGCACTTTTTTCAAGTATTGCTGCTCTACATGTATCGGATTCAATGACATCTTGTTGCCTAAGTAGAATTTAGGAGACCTTACCTTGCTTCGGTGTTGTTATCTTGCTTTGGTTGTGCTTTCTGAAGCTGCACTATTTTTCCATTTACGATGTATAACTTGTTATCGCGAATTACCGCATGATGCCCATTTTTACGTCACATAAATGTTCTTGTACTTTTTTCTTTCTGCTTGTCCTTCTTCATTTAAGTATTCTGCTACAAGTAATCTTGAGTTTTTAAAGCAATAAGTACTCTCTACAGTTTGTCTTTTTTGAAGATGGAATAAAATGACAGTTCATTGTGCAAAAGTGTTGCCCGCTCGCAAGCAGCTAGTGATTGCAGTCGATAAATATTCTATCGACTATCGATTGAATTTTGATTACACTTATGAATAGCCGGACTTGTTTCATTTTAATCATCATCGCCCAATTATTCCAACTGCTAGGTACATGTTCATGTGGGGGCGGGTCGGAGGACAACCGACTCGCCCCTCCGTTGGCGCGGGAGCCCTGGCGTAAGCTAGGGCGGCCGGGCGGCGTCGTGGTGAATGTTCACTGATCCCACGGCGCCGACTCAACCGGCGAGAGGGAAACCCGGGGGGGTTTTAGTGGGGTAGGCCTTCCAGTGTGGAGGGAGAGTCCCCACATAACCCCTGAGTCTTCCCTGGGCACAGGGGTATCCATAAAGATTTCCCCCCCCGTCAAAAAAAAAAAAAAAAGGTACATGTTCATGTGATTTGTTAATTTTTGAAAATCCATACATAACTAAATTTAGAAGTTCTTATGTCTGTTAAAAATACAAATAGGAGACCTATTGTACAATTTTTTATTTTAATTTATTACATGTAATCAAATTCGCCTGTCGTTATTAAAATGTGTAGGACTAAAAATTGATTTCTATTCTGATAGAGCAACTATCAAAATAAAACTAAAGAATAAAATACTTGGGACTTGTCAACTTATGTCTCAGGGCGACGGGCGCAGTGGCAATGCTCCTCAAATCTTTGCGATTTAAAGCTCTGAGTGGCACTGCAACTGTTATGGACAGGCGTGTAGCTTACCATCAGGCGCACGACTTGTTCGTCCTGTCACTTAATATTATAAAAAAAATCGTTAGAACGTCGTCGTAACGTCTACAATTCAAATGTTTTTGGCAAAATTTTACCTACTTTCTCACTTTATCGCTAAAACTGTTGACAACAAACTATTTAAAATTTTACGCGAAAGGGCAACTTTGCAAATGTCATTTTACTCCATCTTTAAAAAGATGGACCATAGAATGTTTTTCGTTATTCTTTTACTAATAAATTATTAACTCTTGCTTAACAGGCACGGGTCTAGGTACTGGCCTTGGCGCTAACACTTTCCAAGCTAAACCAGTTGGCTCCTTCGGCACGCTCGGTGGAGGTGGTACGATGTTCCAGACGGCTACTCAGCCTAATTTCTCTTCAGGTGAGGCAATAACGTTGAAATTGCAGTTTAAAATAAAATTAATTGGTATTTAAAAAAACATGAATAGAAAACGGGATTCGAAGTGAATATTATAATTGCTAATTATCAACATGAATACTTTTAAATTTTAAATGAATTATAAACTATATTCCGTACAAAAATAGAACGAATAATGCCTTATATATTCTAAAATATTTATGACATTATTAACGAGCATCGAGTATATAACCAGAAATAGAGACGAAATAAGGACCATATATTCCTGGTAACACATTAGCGATACAGTTTTATAAATATCAACTTTCGTTTGCACTGAAATATAGACAGGCAAACTAATTACCTGTGTGTACGTCTCCGTATATTCCAAAAAATATTCTGTATTTATTTTAATAAAGATAATATCTCTAACAATGGGGGCTGTTCCATTCGGTGGTGTGGGAAAAACAGCAAAACATCTAATTACAAAACAAACGGAATCAAATTTCATCGATAATTAAATATTAAATATGTAATTTTGCAATTTTCGTCTATGATAGCAAATATTCACGTTAACTGGTCGATTTGAAGTCAAACAGTTGACGACAGCCATTGACGACACCCGTCAATTGTTTCGAACGCGGGCTAGCCAATCTGAGCGTAGTTGTCACAGTAATGATATGGCAGAATAGTTTTCAAACAAGTAAAATGACATTTCGCCGCTATTTCTGGTTATACACTCGATGTTAACGAGACAGTGAAACTCGCCTTTAGCTTCTCTTTTTTTATTCACTGGATGAACACAATATGCTCTTTCTTTATCTGGTATAGTTGCCATCATCACAAATCGAATATCTTCTTCGTAATCTGAATCAGAATTGGATAATTCACGAGACAACATTGGACTCACACATTATGAACTCTCCGTCAGCCACGACGGTTTTGATTCAAAATATCGTCAGTAGGCGTCAGAACACGACATACGAGGGTCATGCCAAAAGAAATTAGATTTTCAATCTTTATAAAATTTATTCTTTGATTCTATCGATTTTTTCAAAATATTTACTATGAACACGTATACACTTTTCCTTTCGTCTAAACCACTTGGAAAATATCGATGACCACTCTTCTTTAGACATCTCGGAAATCTCAAAGTTATAAGCAGTCAAGACATCTTTCCGCCAGCCAGACTTTCAATTTTTCTTGAATTTTTGGATAAAGTTAAAAATCACATGGTGCTAGGTCAGGGAAATATGGCGGTTGCGGCAGGATGGATACATTTTTTTAATGAACATAGTCGAGCGTTTTAGCAGAAGTGTGTGGAGCAGCGTTCTCGTGAAGCCAGCCGGATTGCTGACTTCGGCCGCTTGTCACACCAAGCTGACAAGACTTTTGGGGCACAAACTGTTATATACCATTCGGAGTTAACTGTCCTTTGATCCTCTAGCACTACAGTAGCAATATCTCCCGTCATGCAGAAAAATGAGGCGACAGTTTGTTTCTTTGTGCTTCGTGTACGACGACAATTCGTTGGCGTCGGCTCATCTTCAAAGCACAATACAGTGGACTGTCGCTTTGTTTCATCATCATAGTTATATAACCATGTTTCGTCACCTGTCAGTGTATCATAAAAGTTTTTTTTTCAGCATCGAATTTATCTATCATAAATTTGCACAAATCCACGCGACGTTCTTTCTGCTCACCGTTAAGTTTGTGCGGAACACATCTCGAATAACGCTTATGGAGAGACAGTTGTTCGTGAATAATAGTTTGCGATTCTGCAGTATCACCAGTTGTGGCGATAAGTTCAAAACAGTCTTGCGGATTTAAACCTTTTTTGTAGTCATAATAAATCATAACAGAAAATCACGTCGAGAGATCTCCATTGTTGCAAACAAAATTCCCGCCAGATTGTCTCTGAAAAATAAAATAAATAAATAAAAAAGAATTCGATTTAAGACGTTTTCAAATTTATTAGCAATTAACCTGCCTTTCCGACAGTGTATAACTTGCCAATATCAAACAAGTGATTAAAGAGTGCATAAGTTCTTTTGGCATGACACTCGTACCAACCATGACGTCAGAGCGCATCACGACACGTCACGTCAGAGAAATATAAACGCGGCTTCAGGGTGCTGGTGAAATTATAGGCACATGGGACTTGTCAACTTAGGTCACAGGACGACAGGCGCAGTGGCAGTGCCCTTCAATCTTTGCAACTTAAAGCTCAGAGTGGCACTGCACCTACTATGGACAGGCGTGTCGCTTACCACCAGGCGGACGACTAGTTCGTATTGTCACTTAGTATCAAAACAAAAACTGCGCAGTAAATACCAGTCCGATTGCACTTAATAATGAAGCAAAACTTGTTGTCTATGATGTTAGTAATATAGTCCTACGAGGTTGTTACATTTAACCCTGAATATTATGTTGTTTATTACACCAAACAAATAATAAAAGAAATAAAGGCGATGCGAATGAAACGAAGGTTATCTATGAAAGAAATCTTTTTCAGCCACTTTAAAGCAGTATAGTAAAAAATAAATACTATTTTTTTCTTGTTCCAAAAGGTCTGGACGGCGGTGGGCTCGGTGGAGGCGGTCTATTCGGCAACACCAACACACTCGGGGGTGGAGGCCTAGGCCTCGGCGGACTTGGGGCTAACACCAATTTCAATACAAAGTAAGTAATACAGAAGAGATTCCACTAGTTTATTATTATTATTGATAAAAGATCAAACAAATGCAAGATAATTCCTTCGGCTAAATGGCTAAACGGAACAGAACAACTTTATCGTTCTTCTTTTGCCTGGCCTTATTCACATTTATTTGAGGTCGGCCCTTCTGGTCACTCTTCTCCAAGACGGTCTGTCCTGAGTCGTCTGTGGTTGTTCTCGCAGATCTTTATTAATAAGGGATATCCGTGTGAGGCGGGGTCTACCACGTACCTTGGGCTGGTTACTCATGCCAAGGACTTTCCTTGTGATGTGATTAGGCGGTCGTCGCAAGTAGGTCCGTATCACCTAAGTCTGCTTTCTTGCAACTTTTCTGGGATATACCTCACTTTAAAACTGCCTCTGATGTGGATGTTTTTGACGTGGTCTGGTTTTGTAACGTCCGCCCTGCGATCCGACTAAATTCGAACCACCGTCTGTCGACTCAACGTGGCTACACGGAACAGAACAACTTTATCGTTATTTTGTGTAATATTTAAATTTTTTGAATGTTACGATATTTTACTATCATGATGCAATTATTTTTGTGAAATTACTCCACTAGTTTGTTATAATTATTAATACAAAGATCGAATACTAAGAAAAAGTACTTCGATCCGGCTGGATTCGAACCAGAGCCTTCAAGCAATCCCTCTTCGAACTGAGCTACGGAACGCACCAGCAGACCTTATGAATTTTTCTATATGCTTGTTGCAGATCTTTAATTTTGGTTTTTAAAGACTTTTTGCCGTAGCGCCATCTGTGGGAAAATCTATTTCTTTACTCAGCCATTTTAACCGACTTCAAAAAAGGAGGAGGTTCTCAATTCGACTGCAATTTTTTTTGTATGTTACACGATATCTCCTCAATAATTTGTGAACCGATTGTAATGATTTACTTTTTTTTATTGGAAAAATGGTACCTCAGTAGTGATCCCATTTAAATTGGAAGAAAATATTCCACCTATAAGGGTGGCAAACTAGAGGATGAATGGCTTTCAATAAAATTTGGCATATATATGTAATTCCACAAACTTTTGAGGTCGGTTTTTTAGTACTCTGTACTAAGATTATGTTTAGCAAGTTCTATTGAAGAGTTGTACACAAGGAGGTGATCTTTTCCAGCGCCAACATCTCCGGCGCATCGGCGGCAGGCAACGTGCACGAGCAAATCCTGACGCTCGTCGCGAGGCCGTACGGCGACACGCCGCTCTTCAAGGACCTGCTGCCTGATACTTGTGAGTTTCACACAAGCTGCTCAATGCTCATTTCAGTGAATTCAAAACTTTAAAACGCTCCCCTGTAAACTTAGCAATTTCGACATACGATACTTTACGTAAGAGGGGCCATAAGTAGTGTTAAAATATCAATATGGAAATTTACTTTTTTAAATTAGTCTGCAAGGGGTGTTTTGGGCAGTGCCTCGGAATTAATAGCAAAAGAGCTCCTTGTGAAAGAGATCGTCGAGGAAAATACTGTCACTACCTATTTCTGCCGCCAAGCAAGTAATGTGAACGTACGAACTTGTATATTAAACGACCGCGTACTAAGTTAATGAAACAAACCGAGTGAGAGTCTTCCAAGTGGTAATGTGCCTCTTTCTAATAGGGTGTTCGTTTTCATTTTTCAGCCAGCCATATTGTTTTTAACTTTTTAGTTTTTACTGAAATTGTTGGCCGCTTGTGGATGACCAAAACTACTAATATTATTTCATAATACAAATTGGTATACTTATTTTATATGCTACTTCATAATAGAAGGTTGCATTATTACAGTAAAACCAAAATTATTTAAGCTAAATTTAAAAACTTAATAGACTAGACACTATCTGAGATGATTTTATTTAGCGTTGGCAAGTTGTTAGACAAGGACAGACGGTTTTTTACATTTTCTTAAAATAAACATTACTATAATTAGATATAAGGTGTAAATTTGTAATATTGGTATATCGAAGTGAGCGAACCAGAATATTAAGTATATAAATCCGTGTGTGAACGTCACTGCGTTTCGGTTTTGAATGGCGAGGGCGCTCATGAAATTACAGACACATGGGACTTGTCAATTTAGGGAGTACCACACTTATCGACACGAAATCGGCTTAAGCCTGCCAGAAGCTTTATATCCATGTAAGCGAAGGAGACGTTATGCGTTTCGCGTCAGCAATCTGAGCGGAAGCGAAGCACACTCAACGTCTTTTTAGCTCTTATTGTATTATATGCATAAAGTTTTTTCTGTCCGGTTTAAGCCATTCCGTGGTAATAAGTGTGGTGAGTTCCTTATGTATCAAGGTGGCCTTATTCAGAGTGGAGGCGGGCGCGGGTGCGTGTAAATGAAATGTACGTAGACGCTTGTTGCGTTCACAGTGGTCGCGCGGGTAGATCTATTGGCTAGGTCCGCCCGTACCTTTCACAATGCTTAGTCTAGCGTCTGTTTACGATTTCGATGTGTGGTTCTACCCGCTCGTAGCCGCTTCGGCACTGAAAGGGAAGAGGCCTAGACCCGCGCGCACGCACCCGCCGCCGCGCCCGTGCCTGAATGAGCCCGGTGACGTACACACTAATTACGGGACGAACAAGTCGTGTATCTGGTGGTAAGCGACACGCCTGTCCATAACAGTTGCAGTGCCACTCCAAGCTTTAAATCGTAAAGATCTGAGGGGCACTGCCACTGCGCCCATCACCCTGAGACATAAGTTGACAAGTCCCTTGTGCCTGTAATTTCACCAACACGCTTACCATTCGAAACCGCAACGCAGTAATGCTTATATTGCTGTTTGGCGGCTGAAATAGATAATGTGACAGTACTTCCCTGAACGAACTCTCACAATGAGCTCTGCAGCTCTTTCGGATACTCCAGCGAATAAATAATGAAGAAATATACTATCTCCAGTACAAAATGTTCTTGTTTTTTACCTACAGCAACCACAGCAGAAGATGTCTTAAAGCCAACAAACCCAGCTGCTGTAAAGGCATTGTTGGATAGCAGCAATAACAACATGTATCGTGTGACTTCACCTACTGCCATGCGGCTCAAAGTACAACCCAGCAACAAAGTCACTCAGCATAAGGTATTACATATGAACATTTTACTTATTCATATATATTTTGTGAAAATATTCCACTATATAGTCTGGCTTTTTTGAAGACTGAATAAAATGACAGTTCATTGTGCAAAAGTGTTGCCCGCTTGCGAGCAGCTAGTGATTGCAGTCGATAAATATTCTATCGACTATCGACTGAATATTGGTTACGCTTAAATAGCCATTACTGGGCACAATTTCATACATACGTACACTGTATTTAGAACTATGTTTATGAAAAATACAAAGAGGAGACATTTTAAAAGGTTTTCATTTTAATTCAATATAGATAATGAAATCCGGCTATTCTTGTTAAAATGTTTGTGAATAAAAATGGATTTCGATACTAGAAGGTCAAAATAATAAAGAAGTCAACAAAGCAATTAGTAGTCATTAGAACGTCGTAACATTTATAATTCAGTCATTTTTGGCAAAATTTTGTCTTTCACAATTTTATCGATAAGACTATCGACTACATATTTAAAATTTTATGAAAACTGGCAACCTACAAATGTCATTTTACTCGGTGTGTTGTAAAAATTGTGGAGTAAAATGACATTTGTGGAGTTGCCAGTTTTCACAAAGTTTGAAATAGTTCTGTAGTTAAACTTTACACAGTTTTATCGATAGATTATGAAAGAAGGTAAAATTTTGCCAAAAATATCTGAATTGTGAATGTTACGTGTTACGTTATTGTTTTCTTATTTTGACATTTGGCCTACTAGTATCGAAATCGATTTTGATTCATATACAATAAATAAATAACACACACACACTTATAGCCTCGGTCTAGGGAAATCCTGTGTCGCTGGTGCCATTGACACACACAAACAACCACAAATTACCCGGTTACATGTCCCGGGGAACGAACCCGGGACCTCTGCTTGGCAGACCGGCATGGTAACCGTACGGCCACAAAGGCAGTCTTTTATTCACAATTTAATAAGGACAGCCGGATTTGATTATCTATATTGAATTTAAATGAAATCGTTTAAAATGTGTCTTCGCTTTGTATTTCTCATGAACATGTTTCTAAATACTTTGTATGTATGTATGAACTTAACAAAAATTGACAATTCAGATGAACTTGTGCTCAGTAATTGGATAAATATTGGATCGAGGATAATTTAAATGAAACAAGTTCCGCTATTTATTCCACAAGCGTGACTAATATTCGATAATTGTCGATTTATCGACTGCAATCACTAACTGCTCGCGAGCGGGCAACACTTTTGAGCAATGAACTGTCACTTTACTCCGCCTTCAAAAAAGACAGACTATAGACGGTTACCACTTTTCACAGTTTACCGATTAAAAAAAAAATACATATCCAGAAAATATTCCGCAGAAATCTCTCTTCGACGGTCTAGAAGAGTCGGACGCGACTCTAGAAGACAAACTCAGTCTAAAACCTAGCCGCAAGCGCCTAGTGCTAAGACCTAGATCACAGATTGAGGAACAGAATGAGTCTTTGGAACACGCACAACAAAATAACAGGTAATTTACTGCATCATTGATCACGTAATAGATATACAATTTTACCAGTTCAGATTAACTTGTCGATACGTAACATTTGCTCGTGGCTTGGGGTCAAGTGACTTGGAATTTTTTTATTTAAGTCTTTATTATGGACAGCCGCTTGTCATCAAGCGCACTATTTAAACAAAAAAAAAACCACTAATACTAAACAATCTTACAGCAGCAAATTAAGCTCTGCTGCATACGCAGTCCGTAGAATACGTGAAGTTACCGATGTTGCTACTGCTAGACCAGTTTACTTTAGTTCCATAGTATAACGTCCTACGGGATTCTCTTGTAGGGTAAAGCGGCAGATATACAAACCATATTTGTGTGGCAAAAACGAGCGATTCTTTCTGTGTACAGTTTAGGTTCTCCTGTTTCTCTGACTGGTATCATGACTGTGGAATAACAGTACATTGACTCAAATATTTTGTATGCCCCTAAAAATATACATAATTTCGTTAAGAAACAAGATATCCATAATATTAACCTTAGAACTAAGTCCAAAATCATGGTACCACGATTTCGTTTAACTGAGGTAAACGATTCTTTTATGAGGTTTATCTTTTATATATCTTATTCTTTTATCATTATAACTGTATACGTTTTTACAACAAGATTCCGGAGAATATATTAAGATTATCATTTCCTAAGTTTAAAACTTATATTAGAAGTATTTTAATTGAAAAGTCATATTACAAAATTAAAGAGTATGGTTTAGATAAACTAAGATATTTTAGATAATAAGTCTTGTAGTTTATTTAAAGGTTATACATATTTACGTTATTTATGCTATTAACTAATTAAATTAGATACCTGTTTGAATAATATTAATGAGAATTGTAATAAATCTGTAAGTATCATGTACAGAGATGGACATTTTGTTATTAAACATTCTACATCGAATTTAGCTAAAGTACAGGTTACATATATATCATTGCTGGTGTAATCTTTTAAGTATGAAAATACTTGTGTCAGAAGCCACCGCTCCTCCAATCCGGTACAGTTATTACTTAGAACTTTAAAGTGGATGGAACAGATTGACTCTCGTTTTAAAGATAGCTAAGGATTTACTATCATGTACAGTAATGGGAAGTGTATTCCAGAGTCTGACCGTATGAACATTAAAGGAGTGAGAATAAAAACCGGAATTGAATGATGATAGTTTGTTTTCGGGATTTTATATGATCGGGTAAAGTACATACATCCTGTCGTGTAACGAATTAACAGTCATTATACAATATCCTTAGGTGAATAGTATGTTTGTCAAATACCGTTATTTAATCATAAATAATTTGATCTAGTAAAACAGTTATTCCTGCTTTTCCTGCGGTAATTCGCCTTAAGAAGTTTATGTACAGTTTATATTACGGAAAAAGTGGCAACACTCGATCAAACCCCTTTAAGTTAGGAATGACAAGTTGGTAAATTATTCATAAGTACGCTTTGTAATAATAATAAATTACGGTCTTTGTATACTTATCGTTATTGAATAACTATTTTATTAATAAATTACATTTATTATTTAGAATTTTCCTAAAATGTATAAAGATATAAATAAAGTCATTTGTTGGTCAATTTTAACATCTTACTTGCTTTTACTTGTGAATAAAGGCGTTTTTTTTTAAATTTTTTTACGGTATTTTAAACGCGAGTAATGATTGTTTCCACTGTTTATTTCGAAGCGTATACTGGCTCCAATTTCAGCTGGCTAAGAGCGTAAAGCGAAAAACAATCTGACATCAATATTCAGTCTTTCTAGCTCAGTAATGATGTTTAAAACGCTGTTTCTACTTAAATTTGTAAAAAGTTTGACAAATTATTAGTTGAAACAGATTTAAGCCGCAACGCTTTCAAAAGTTTGACAAATAATTATTGTGCACCTACTTGGTTTAAACGACTATTCTGCTAAAAGCGCATCACTGTCAAAAGTTTGACGGATAATTACAGGTTTAAATGGCAACACTGTTAAAAGTTAGAGCGATAACATAATGCGACGTTTAGCAGCGATACAAACGCGATGTGAGTCGCTAATCGTCTACCTTTACACACACGCGCGTTTTTAAACAGCGATGCAAACGCAATGCAAGCGCGCGACTGCATCGATACAAACGCGCGATTGCAGCGCTACACTTGGGATTTATAGGTGATTGCATCGTTGCAATCGCGCGTTTGTATCGATGCAATTATATCGACAGTGTAGCTAAGCGATCGCGCGTGTCACGAACGCGCGTTTGTATCGCCGCTGTGTGTAACCACTCTTAGACGGATAGTTAGTACAAACGGTGGTATTAAATGGCAAAAATGTCAACAATTTTACGGATAATTAGTATAAACTGATTACTTAATGGGTAGACAGAACGTCTCGAGACAGGGGCGTTTGGCTGTTCATTAGTGATGCACCGAAAGTGTCATAACGGAAACACACAGATGTCAAAAGTAAATTTTAGTAGAAACGGAAGTGGAAGTGTAAATACCACAAAGATCTCAACGAAATAGTTCCAATAAGGGCTTGTGTTTGGTTTGAACACAACTTCAATCTCATCGCCAAGCAATACGCGTGTAAACTTCCATCCATCGTAAACGTTACAAACTTTCGATATAAAAGTTGCGCAAGCTAAAACGGAAATAGATGTGAAAAAGCATGCAGAACTTCCGCAGTTGCGAAAGCAGAAGTCTGTTGCATCTCTACTGATCATCGCGGTGTGCGGGTTCCAACAGCAATGTATGATAGTGAGTGTTGAATGTGGCAGAAAAAACATGAAAGTAAGGTGGATGCTGTAGAAATGGGAGCTTTTCGCAATATGTGCAGTATAAGAGCGTTGGCGCACTATGTCCGCTTCGTATCAATTCCGAATCCGAGTAATGACGGCCCGAAATGTCATAGGGATCATTTTATCTCGGTGTAAAAGCGATGTTTTCTCGGATTCGAATTGGACTTAGTGTACAAGCGATATCGGAAGTGGGTCCGAATTTTATACATTTGTAGAATCGGACGTAATGCGTAAACGCGCTTAGTCTTAAAGAATGAATGCCGAACAGTGTAGGAAACGTGTGTATGAAAGAACAAATTAAAAGTGTCCTTTGATAATTTGTACAAAAAACTTGTTGTGGCGTTAGTTGTTTGGTTCAAAGTAGAACACAAGGGCTGTTCTACTTTGCACCAAACAACTCTCATGGTGACTGGCGCAATGGCAGTATCTCTCAGGACTTATGCGATTTAAAGTTTTAGATTTAAAGCTACTGCTCGTTCACTGTCCTGACTTCATTGAGAAAAACGAGCACGAAACTCTAGGAATCTAGAGCCATGTCGTCTTTCCATTCGTCTTTATCTAACACGTAGTCTTAAATTTTGTAATATGACTTTTCAATTAAATTACTTTTGATGTACGTTTTAAACTTAGGAAATGTATGTTCCGGAATCTTATTGTAAAAACGTAAGTAAATGTTAAATCTCTGAGCGGCACTACAACTGTGATGTGTAGGCGTGTTGCTTGCCACCAGGCCTACGAAGTATTCGTCTCTTTACTTAATATTAAAAAAAGAATTAATTTTTAAAAAAAATTACCAGGTCCTTGGAAGACGCACGCCGTGAAACAAATGGACCTCAAAAGGAAAAAGATGATAACAAATCTGTAGAGGAAACGCAGCGGCTCAGAAAAGATATGAACCTCGAAAAGAATAGTAAGTACAGTCTACAAGAAACTTTGTGGCTCCCTGTAACAGCTATAACCACGGAAGAATAAAAACAATGGAAGGGCCTTAAGCCTCTATTACTGTTATAAACGATGTCGCCAAAACTCACATGTTCTTAATTTGATACACTACAAAGCCTTGATATTGATTGGTCGTAGTTTCAAATTTAAAAAGAAATAAATTCGGGATTGTTCACTTCACTTTTTATTTTTATGGCTCCATCATTATGAGAAGTGATGATTTTGCCAATGTCACGGTTGAAAGACAAAAAACGAAACCAAAAAAAAAAATTCGCTAAGCTCTTAGGACATTAACCGGTGTTGGTAAGTTGGACCACGGGAGTACTCAGTTGAGAATGTAAAACAAAACAACATTTATAAATATATGTTATTTAAGTGGATAAATTTACATAGAGTAACAATATGGGGGGAGAACACTAAAGTTAAGAGGTTATTTATGTTAATGGGGCGGGGGAATTTTGGAGAAAGTAAGTTATGAAGTGGAACAGCAATATTAGGACAATTGAAAAAAATGTGTTCCAAGGTACCGTCTTCTAGGCCGCACTTGCACAGAGAGTGATCTCGAACTCTGATTTTACGCAAAAATACAGGTGTGCAAACATGGCCTAAGCGCAAACGAATAATAGTGGAAGTGATGTTTTTAGGCAAATCGCGACGTTTAAAAAACCAGGGTTTAGTGGGTAGATTTGGTTGGAGGTTACCATAGTGTCTACCAACAGTTTGTCGTGATTCCTGCCAAAGGACCGACCAGGAGGCTAGCATTTGGGGTTTGGTCATGGCGAGCAGATCTCTGGGAAAGCACTTACAGTATTTGCATACGCCAATTCTTGTCGCATCCTTTGCAAAGGCGTCTACTGCTTCGTTGCCACTAATCCCACTGTGACCGGGAATCCAGGCCAGAGTTACCTCAATTCCCGCACAATGACATCGGTACAGATTGACATCGATACATCGGGATTGTTAATATAATTTAAACTTTACCCTGTTGGCATATGGCGTTGAAAGTTCAATACCATCAATACTTATTATTACAAATTACGACGTTTTGATATTATATTGAATTTTTAATCAATGTGCTGCCATCGAGCGGTTCATTGCTGAATGACGACGAATTGGGGCTATTAATTTATTTCTCCAAACAACAAGCGACCATATTGTAGGGGTATAAGCTTTACTTTCGTTTCTTGTAACAAAAAAAAAATTCTGTGAACAGAAAATTGAAAATTGATTAAAATAAGACTCCGATGATATGAAATACCACCACGGATAATATTTTTGGTGCGGCAATCATTTTTGCACTTCAAAACAGCACAATAAGGCATTTTATAGAGGATTTGCACGAAAGAATGACACAACCGTACCATACAAAGTGAAAATGGCGCGACGGACTGAGCTCAGATAGGTCTTTCGAGACTTATAGTTGGCACTTATAACTAACCACTTCTACTGTATTTATTGCACT